ACGCACGGTCGGCGCGCGGGTTGGCGGGTCCGCTGGGGCGGCGGCACCAGGAGAGGGCTGTGGAACGCGCGCCTCGCTGTGTGCGACTGTGGCTGAGAGTGCGTTGCATCACCCCTTTTATAGTCCTCGGGCTGGCGCCGCGCCCGAATTACTCCAGTCCGAGGCTGACGTAATGCTATTAATAGCTTCCCCCAAGAACCAGCCGAACTAGGCAGGGCAAAGGGAGGAGGGATGAAGGAGGGGCCATAGGGGAGGAGGGGAGAGGCGGGGACTGGTGATGCAAGCTCCGGGAGGAGTCGTCTGGGGCGCGCTCACCGGGTCTCGAGCGCCAGGACACACACCCTCCCGCCCTCTCTCTCCATATCAGGACCGGAGTCGCCCAGGCTGGCTGCCAGATGTGCGTACTGGCCGCTGCGTGTTCCAGGCATGAGCCAATGGTGCCCAAGCCAGCGGCATGACTCCACCGCGCTGGCATCTCTCCCTCGGATTGGGGGGAGAGGGGGGGGGGCGCTGGTGGGGGAAGAGATGAAGGGGCGGATCCTGGCCAGAGCCCAGCCTAGGTGAGGCTGGGAAACGAGCACGTCCTTTCTCTAAAATCCGTAATCATTTTCTGGAGTTTCAGGAAAATACCCCCTCCCGCGCCATGCGCCTCCTTCGCAAGTAGGGGGCGGGGTAGGAACAGTAGCTTGAGCCTCGGATGAGCGAGAGGTGCCCAAAGGCACCCTACCGTGAACCCACACAGTTACCACCGGGGGTGACCTCCCTGGCGGGGACCGCGAGAAGTCTGTCGGTTAGCCCCAGCGCGGAGGGCAGCGCTCTGCGGGCACCATGCGCTCGCGGCCCCCGCGCACCCTACGGGAGTGCACAAGCGGGACGGCCCTGGAATGGGTTGGGAGCCCGAGCCCCAGGCGAGGGCCAGTGGTAGGACAGCATGGGCTGGGATTTTTTAACAACCACAAAGCGTTTGAAATTGACGGTGAAATGAACAAGCCTCTGGAAAGACGAGAGACCTGGAGAAATCAGAGGCAAGCCGGAGATCAACTCACAGTGGGGCTGAAGCCCAGAGGCCAGGAGCTCAGGAAAGAGAAGGTGCTTTGGCTTCTGCGCGCAGGGCGGCGCGGGGGTCGCCTCGCTAGCCCGCCTTGTTTAGGGAAAAGCCTTCTTCGGCTTTCCGTATTTTTCTGCGCCCAGAGCGGCTTGGGCTGGGACGGAACCACCCGGACTGGGGACGCACTGACGGCCCCCGAAATGAGGCCGGGTAGCAGAAATCCCTTCCGCCACCAAACCCGGGTGGAGGGGAGAGCTGGGTCCCGTCACCCCAGATTCGAGCCGAGACTTTGGCGGAACTGGGTTGGAATCTTAAAAATGAGTTCTTGGTTCGTATTCCCCAACCTTAACTGTCTCGGCTTCAAGAGTGGCAGAACTGGGGACCTTCAAAACGGCCCATGGACGAATATGTGTGAACGCTACCGTGGCCCTCGATGTTTTTGAACCTGCCTGGGAGGGAGACCCGTGCGTGCCCGTGGGGTTTGGGGGCACGGCCGGGGGCAGGAACACGTGCTTCCCCCTGCCTCTTAGGAGAAAGGCGATTGAAGCTCATAGTGTGGTAATTTGGGTAAGAGCTACAGGGCCTCACAGACCCGGTCTCGGTCGCCGGTAGCCCTACTCCACCGCACCTGCAGCCCTCGACTGTTGCGGTCATTATGGAGGGTCCAATCAGTCTGTCTCTCTCCCTCACACGCACACACACACACACACACACACACACACACACGAGTTTCGCACCCCCTGGGGAATCTATGACCCTCTCCGCAGCCCCTCCGATTGCCCAGCAGCCTGGGGCAGAGACCCTCAGGGCTGCAGATATAAAACGGAGTCTCCCGCACCCGGGTTCCTCTCCCCCCAACCGGAGCCTCGCCCAAAACACCCCTCTCCCGCCCCAAGTTTCGGGTTTAGGACAACCCGGAGGGCGGCCTCGGAAGTCCCCTCCGTCGCCGGCGGGGCCGGGAGCCCCGGGGTTCCACGCAGGATCCGCGGGGATGTTTCCTGACAGGGTTTACAGCGGCGTTGCGCGGGAAGCCTGGAAACGCGGGGCGGTGTTGTGCTTTACTTTTCGCCATGGTAACGGCTCTCCCAGCCCCACCCTCCACCCCCCCACACCCACAGCCCTGCACTCGCGGCTCAACACCCCCACACCCGCCCTCTTGCGGAAGTGTCCGCTGGTAAACCCAGGGCAGGCTGGCAGGTAAACCCCCGGCGTTGGTACAACCCCTAGACCAGAAGGAAGGGCGTGTGTCAATTTAAATGAAAGTTATTTGGGATTCTCCACTTATCTGTTGTATCTACTTAGCTACTGCCTGGAATAGACTGCACCATTATAAAGTGAAACAAGGAGGTGGGGGAAGACCTGTGAAAGCTTTTCCCTGCTTTCCCTCTGTGAAACGCCTGCAGATATCTTTAACCAGTTTACATTTTAAACTATGAGCCATTCATACACTCAAGCCAGATTTGTGGAGGCTGAGTCCTGTCCTTAAGGGGAAACTCAACTTCTGGAGTAGGGTAAACAAACAGACCAGCTTGCACAAACCAGTGCAAGACAAGGGTAATTAAGACAGAGAGGTCCACACCCCCCCGTTGGTTTATTTTTGTTACCCTCGTGCCTCCGGTTCCTCTTAGTCCTGGTTCATTCCAACGATTCCTGGGTTTGACTCTCCAAGTCACACCTGGATAGCAAAGCTCTCAGCTAGTCACAGGAGTCGGAGCCTGGCGGTCTCTGCCTAGCTCTCCCACTGAACCTCTAGAAGCGTTAAGAATCTTGACACAGAAGTGAAGTCCACCCCCTGGTGAATGAAACTCTTATCTAAGGAAAACAAAAAGGACTCCCGCCTGCCGCCCTGCCTCCAGCCCCCAGGAGAACTGTGAAATGCCTGGCTAATCGCAGGGACTGGGAAAGTGGAAGGGAAGAGCCCCAAGGTCTGTGCAGTTGGAGGGGTGATCAGTATCAGAGTCCTGTGCGTCCTCAGTTTACCCTGACCTTAGTTAATGCCACCCAAGGTCCTGTGCGCACACACTGTGCCCTCCAGAGGAGGGACAAGAACAGCCCCCCAGACCACAGTGCTTCTCTACACCAAGGCAAGCGATGCCTCAGCCTCCTACGAAGGAAGCCCCGGCTCGGGTTATTTCAGGGGTTAATCCTCAGTGAAAGAGGGTTAAGCAGAGACTTGAATGTTGTTGAAGTTGCACGCTGGAGAACCGCCTGGGGAATCTACATTCAGACCAGCCTTGATGTGTTTTGCTGAGTGAGATAAGAATTGGAAACTTCATGCCGGGGCATGTGCAAAAGGAGGGGAAAACAGTTAAAAGGGGAGGAGATGGAACTAGGCAGCTAAAAACAGCCCACTCGTGGCAACCAAATCTAAACACCAAAACATTGCAGGGAGCCAAAAAAAAAAAAAAGTTCAGGGATATTTAAAGGTTTTAGCAGTTTCTGAGTCCAGAGAGCAGCTCCTTTCTACTCCCTCCCCCACCGCATTGCCCTTCTTCAGCCCCCAGCATTGTATTTGCTCACAGAGCTCTAGAGAGACAAATGAAACCCAAGTTAAAATCAGTCATGGACTCGAAGACTTGTCCTCCTGGCTCAACCCACTTCACCTCCGAAAAAGTGTGAGGTGGATTTTCTTCTTTGTTCTGCTTTCCGAAACCCACACCATCTATAAAGTCAGTTGAATGTGGAGATGACTAATTTCAGAGCCTCCAAAATGGGCCTCCTCAGGAAACGGGGAAGCGTGGCACAGTGGGCTCTGAAGTGCTTTGATTCTGGATTCAGCACTTAGGGCTGTGCCGCCTTGGATAAGTCACTTCACTCTCTGGGCTTAAATTTCTTCAGCTGAAATACGGCACTAATAATAGTACCTAACACATAAAAGTTTGTTTGGGAGGATTCACTGAGGATGGAAAACACAACCAGTCCTCAGGAGGGGTGTCATTAATTATGAATCAAGGAGGGCTCTCTGGGGATACCCCTGAGTCTCTCCCAGAGCCCATTCTGTCCCCTAGTGTGTGACAAACAATTGTGGATGAAGTCGAGCTGTAT